GTATCCTTAGTATTGATGGTACTTGTTTTTCTTCATCATAAGCTTATTGCTAATGGGAGTAGTAGTAGTAGTAGTAGTAGTAGTAGTAGTAGTAGTAGTAGTAGTAGTAGTAGTAGTAGGAGGAGCAGCAGCAGCAGCAACAACAACAACAACAGCAACGACCACGACGACGACGACAGAAACAAGAAGCAGAAGTCATGCCATGGTATGCCTTGTTGTCCTTTGCGTTGTTCGCCCTGTCTTGCTAACCATGGCAAGGGTTTCAAGACTCTGGACAGGACGGAGTCAAGGGGTGAAGAGCGGGGACGTCGCTTCATTGAATCATGTTCGTTGTACATAACCTGAAGGCCTTACACCATTGTCGGTCTGTTTCGTTTGACATGATGTGGAGCTACGGCACCCTGTATCTGCATTAATGTACGTGCTCTTGTGCTACAGCCCCTCGACGCTAGGTTGCCGGATGCAGAACGGGCCAAAAGCAAGTCCCTTGCAGCTGATCCATAAACTGTAAGTTGCTTGGGAGAATCGTCTGTGCTGCTCTGCCTCGCTGCACATAACTGGCCGTGGTCACAGATCGAACCGAGTTGTTGTGAGAAGACAAGACTACTGGACAGCAACTCACCCACGAAGCACATTGACCACACGATGTGCCTCCAGGTCAGCCTTTCATTCGAGCTAAAGTCTTCCCGAGCAGCACGCGGAAAGGACCCATCTCCGCCGCAGCACTGGCTGCCAGCAACCTTCCAGGCACTGAGTGTGACCCTCCTGTCGTGGGATTCTGGGATGCTTGAAGTCAAGCGCGGCATTTTGCCGTCCGAGAAGCCGGGCTTTGGCCAAGTGGGCGAAGTTGACGAGCCTTGACTTTGGCAAGCTTTGGGGCACACAGTCCTGGCGAATGCCTGACCGAGACGCAGGCTCTTGGCCCAGACTCTCCACGCGGCCTTTGTCACGCTGGGCGGGATCCATAGGACTTTGGCAAGTATTTACGGAGCTACTTGGCAGCTCGTGGCTGCTCATAGTATGGACGAACGGCCAATTTTCCTGGGCTTCCAGCTTGCCACACAGGCAAGGTCGTCGGGTCTGAACTCATCGATGAATCTGGCAGAAGCGTCCGTTGGCCATGAGCTTTGCCTTGGCTGCAAAGCCACCTGCCAGGCTCGGAGCTGAGAGTTCAGGTTGGGTATCGTGTTATCCCCGGGGGTCCCAGAATCTGTCTTCAGTTCATTTACAGCTCTCCGGCATGTGGGGGTCACAACGCTTCTGTTTCTCACCGCTCAAGCTCCAGATGTCGACGTCAGGCGGTGCCGATTCCGGACACACAGTCTCACTCACTGCGGGTGGTGGTTGTTGAGCCCTGTGCATAGCCGACCATGGCGGGTCGTGGACTGATTCGTTCGATGCTGCTTGGGTTGTCTTGGGCTCTGCGAAAGTGGAACTGAACAGTATACGACCCAGTGGGTGCCAATGGGTGTCATTGCGTATCTTGGGCCACTCATCTGCGCAGGCGAAGCGGGGCACCAGCCATCGGTCAACAGGCTGTGTTGTCCGACAAGACAACGACGACACAAGCACAGTTTGCTCTCTAGGCCAGAGATGAAAATCGATACTGCCCGATGCACGGTGCTCCTGCACTGCTGCATAGGGAAAGCCGGTGAAACTCGAGACCTTGTTTAGCCGGAAGAGCCGCAGGACTCCAGTAGCTTCTCAGCAAATCTTCTGATGTTCCCAGGATCGCAGCACTCAGGGCGGCAGCAGGTCCAGTTGCCAAAGCCTTCATACGATCGGGCAGGGGAGCCTAGTCTGCAACGCATCGACAACGCATGGCTCAGGAAGGAACCCGACGTCGGACAAGACCTGAGCAGTGCAGGAATTGGATCGGACCGCCTTGAGATTTCTCTGCCGACTCAGCGCTTCGCCACATTTCCTGCCAGCGGATGGCGAGGACCCCCCGTGATGCAGAGCTCGAAGTCCTCTCAGCAAAGGCTCTCCCAAACGCCTTCACTCGTGCTGCGACCTCAAGGACCCAAGGGAGCACCATGAGCCCACTGCTGGAACAGACCGCTTTCCCACCTCTGGACGAGAAGCTGATGTCGGGTCCGCTGAAGCCATCGCTGCCTTCAGCTCTGAGATGGTGGTGCCCTGCCAAGTGGACTGGCAGTGGGGGACGTGCACAGCTGGTCACAGGGATCGTTCTTACGTTAGTTACACCATGCAAAAAACCCAAGTGTTTGTGGCACCTCCCCGAGTATCCTGATTCTGGGTGGAGAGTCGGCGGTCTCTGCTTTGCTCTTACAGGCCGGTGCAGGTGTCTGCAGTGCAATGCATGCTTTGAATCATCTGCGGGGAGATTTGATGCCTTCAAGTCAAGTGCGCCTCCTTCACAGGAATCCGGTGGCTCAGGCCGAGCACGTGGTCGATGTGAACACGGACCTCTACGGAAGACAAAATTGTGCTTGCACACCCTTCTGCTTGGCTCCGAGACTGTTACCATTTGGAACATTTCCCATCCGGGACGGGAATGACCATTCATCTTGCAGTTGCACCCGGCTGCAAGCACTTGCACCAACTGCAGCACTGATCCCTCAACATCCTCACGTCCCTTTCGCAGGCAACCACCAAGACTACAATGCACTGGCAAATCCCGGCATCCATGCACAACTGCCTCTGCATGGTCCTTCCATCTTTGCGACACAGCCTGACATCAGGGTTGGACTGGCTTTTGGATGCCTGAGGGCCACAAGCGGGGATCAAGATCACTCAAGCTAGCTTCTCCTTGAGAAACAAAACTCCGCGGAATCTTGTGCTTTTCAGTCTTGGGCTCCTGAGTGCTGCTAGATCCACTCTGAAGACCCTCGAAAGCTGGTGGCTCAACGTGTGCTCACAGCCTCAGGGCAAAAGGGAGCAGGCTTCGAAGCCACCGAAGCCGGTGGTCGGAACCTGGCCATGGCAACGAGCGGAGTATGGCTTTGAAAGCTTAGCGGCTTGGTGTTTAGGGCCACTTGAACTTCAGCTGATCAGGAGCCAACTGCGCCAGCTTCACGCGAAGTCGAATCGCGCTGCCTCTGGCCGGGCTGCTTATTCTTTGTTCGGACACAAAAACTCACGCGCCTTGTTCAACACCTCACTGGGATCCACCTGTCGGCCGAACCTGGGACGAAGGCACCAGTAGCAGCGGGACTCTCAACGAACGAAAGTTGCATCAGGGACCTGCCGGACCGAAAAACTACAACTACCTCGATCTCTCGACGCATCTGTGTGCCCAGCCGATACAGCTGGATCCACTCGGCCTGGCGTTGTGCTTGAATGGACGAAATGATTTGCCACAAGGTCAGAAGTAAAACACCACCAGGCGAGCATTCTTCAACGAGAGGACCACGGCAGATTTAATCAGTCATCTTCTGGCGATCCCGACACCATGAGCACAATTCATGCGGGGCCATGCCATTCCTGAAACGGAAGACAACAACAGGGAAACCAAACTTGAAAATTCTGGGGAAGAGCACTGAGACTGAAAGCGTAACCGTTTGCCTCCAGAGTGATCTTCAAACACGGATGGATTGATATGGGCTTATAAAGGTATCTGAAGAAAACTTTGCTGAGTTCACCTTCGCACAACCTTCAGTGCTACATTGAACATCACGTGCTCGTTCCGTCGCTACCCAGTATGGCCTCTTCTGCCGCCATCTCGCGCCTGAGGTCATTCACCGAGGACCCTGCCGGCACCTGGCTTAAAAACACCACAGACTCTTTCATGAAAACGAAGACAAGCCCTTTGATTGCCGGCTTCAATTCGCAGTGCACCTCAAAGCTGCGGCTCCACTTCTCACCTTCCAAGAGCCACACAAGTAGAGCAGTATCAAAACCTCCATCCGGAACAGCGCCAGCCTTGCAAGACGAAGCGCACCTCCACAGGCACAGTGCCGCCTGCTTTTGCCTGCGATGCTTCGAACCCGCTCTCTTCGCTCAGCTCCATGAGAATGCGGACTGTGCCGGGGCGCCGCACCGTCTCAGTGACAGCCTGCCGAGTTGCATCGGCCTTTGCAAATGCGGAGTTTCGGGAGCCGCAAGCTAAACATAGCCTTGGGCTAGAGTTTTTGACCAGAGCCAAGAATCGACATCCCAAAATATCCGGCAGATGCACTTCGATGCAAGACCCTGGTGGATCCTCGATTTCGTCGAAGTCAAACATCCCATCGCCATCACCCTGCTCCTTCCAGCGGGCTTGCTTGCGCTTAAACATTCGTCTGCAACTCCGGGCAAGTAGCACAGCCATGATCATGGCGGCTAAGCCTCAAGTCTCAAAGGGACATCAAGGGGGGCTGGCTTCGCACATGTAGGACCTACAAACACAGGTTGCACATGCACGAAATTCACTGGCTTTGTCCCTGAAGCGTGCCAGGCCTTTCTCTCCTCCGACACATTTTGGGCAGAGGCAGCATCGCCTCAATAACGACAGCACAACATTCAGATGCATGCCTGATAGAAAGGCACAGCCTGACAAGTCAGCGGCAATTGGATCAGAAATCATGATACATGACAAGCAAGTGCAGCCATTGACCGTTGCCTGTGCAAACAAAACTGCTCATGGGCGTTAACACCTTAGGACACTAAGGCTTCTGCTCAAAGCCCAGGACTTTTCATGATTGATCGCTGTTGCTCCCGATGGTTCAGGGATCAATGGCGCTGCCTCCACTGATAAACTTCTTGGCACTGCCTCGTTGGTTTTTAGGCTTTGATCCCTGATTCGTTTGCGCCTGCCGGCGGAACGGAGTTCCTGTGCAATTACCGGCGGTCTGGATTGCTGTCCGAAGAGCAGACGCTTGTGTAGCAGCACAGATTACAGCAGTCCAGTGCCGGCTACAATCGGTGAAACCCTGGCTCTGGCCAGCTGGCATTAACTGGTGCCACGTAGGATGCAACTGTCAGAGGCGCAAGCCGAAGTTCAACCCCCCTGTTACCAAAAATCTGGGACCAAATAGCAGGCTGCCCAGACAGCTCATCACGGAGAACCTCTGCCAGGTGCACCCTGCGCGCGCTCAAGAAACAGCTGCTGCATCCTCAGCTGTGCAGTGCTGGGCTGCAAAGCGCTGCTCCCAGCAGAGTGCCGTCTGATGCACGCTACAGATTTACTAGGATTGGAAGCAGCCCTGGACGGGGTTCATCACTCATATGGAGTGCGATTATAGTACTTCGGGGCGAGGCTCCACAGCAACTGTCATCGGCCAAGCGGCTTCTCTTGAAGACGTTGAATCCGCTCATCCACGCCAGACCTCAGGTAAGTTCAAACTTCCTGTCCTGCGGTGATGACCACACATCAAGGCAGCTGCTAATGCCTCTACCCAACTTCAATTTTGGAATCAACCTTACAGAAACAGGTTCAACCATACACCCTTCTCATCAGGATTTGCCATGTCACGCACTTTGTCTCTCCTCGTCCTGGGAGGGGCCTGACAGGCCGTTCCTCAGAATCAGGCCATGCAAACAAATTCGGGTCTGACCGCCAAGAGACCCAGATCCCTTCAGTGATCAGCTTAGCAGACGGTATTCATAGCCATTCTGCACTGCCATGAAGCTCCGCATTTGTGGGCTGCGTGCTCGAAGTACCGAGTGCAGACAGCAGAGAGTCAATCTTCCTGTTGGCATGGCGGGCAATGCAGCTTGATGAAAACCCAACACAGCTGATGTCGTCATGAGTTTTAGTGTTCACAGCGACCTTACATTGCTTTCCAGTGCCTTCAATCATTCAAGTGAACGCTGAAGAAAATGCTTGTCGCATGCTACCTGAAGCCTGCTAAGCCGGGAAGCTATTGGAAAAGCTTCCTCCCGCTTGAAACCCACTTTCCGTGAGCGCAGAGAGCATGAGAAGAAACCCGGCAAAGCTCGCCAGGCCTGTCCAGGACATCGTAGCGTCGCGACTTCCGCTCCCAGCGCTGGGACGGCGACGTGGTGCAATCGGAGCCTCCTTCAGCCACCGGCAGCGCCCGGTCTTAGCAGGGAAAGGAGCCTAAACTCTCAGCGCATGGGGCCAAAGCGGCCAAAGCATCTAGGAGTATAATATGAAATTTATCTGTGGTACAAGGGAGAAGCGAGAACCCAAACCTGATGAGGCTCAAGGCAAGGCGCGTGTGGACGTGGCTTGCTGTGGCAATGGCGGTGCGGCACCTTCTCGCAACAAGCCGCTGGGCCACAAACGCTCTATCTACACGCTCGCTTCGCAACATCATGTGCAATAGTGACAATCGTTTAGTACTACTTCGCCGTCGCCTCTGAAAGTCACAGCTACACGGAGGCCTGGCTCAGACCTCACCGAGCCGGCAACATGGTGAGGTGAACGAGGTGAAGTTCCAAAGCTTTGAGGGCTGCCCCAAACTGTCCTGCAAGGCACACGGACTAGACAAGGGTTCCGACAAGACCGCTCCGGAACATCGCGTCTGTCCTCGGGGTCGGGCCAGTGGGCCCATGTGGCACGGGCAGCACGGGCCCCTCCGGCTTGCCTTCTGCCCGCGGTCCACGCGAAGCGCGCGAAAAGCTTGTGGCCAAGCATGGAAGGCTCCGGGCAACCGGGCCACTCGGATCTGGACCAACCGGCCCAGGTGCCGGTGCCGGCACCACAGGCGCTGGCGCCGGTGACGCCGGTGCAGCCTTCTTGGAGATACGGTTTACGAGCTCAGGCGAGCCAGGAGACGCTGGTGAAGGCGAAGGAGTCTGCATCAAGTGCTCGAGTCCAAGGCCACCCAGCAGCTCATCGAGTTCTTCATGCAATTCTTTGAGTTCAGAATCTCGCTCTGCGAACATCCCACTCAGGTTTTCAAATTGCTGGAAGGGTGCCTTTGCCGGGCCAAGGTCTGTGACTGCTGGCGGCAGCCATGGCTTCTTCGCACGCGGGGACGGCAGGCTGCCAATGCTTGGCAGCACAGGAGGGGACTTGATGAAATCAGCTGCCTTGGCTGCTCAGGAATAATAGCGACCTGCAACATAAAGCGGACGTGTATGGACAAGTTGGCGGGCGATGAGGACAAACTTGGTGGAGATTCTGTGACAAGGAAGACAGTCGTTGGTCTTTCCTGCGTTATTGCTGTTCGTGCACACAGCAATCGTTGACGAAGAGACATGCCGGGAACTAAATGCTCTCATGCCGACAAGATCTTTTTGCATCCCTAAAGGAAACGATGCATCATCATCATATTGACAGTGACAAGACTGCCGGACTGAACCGCCTTCCCTGTGTCTTATGTGGTTCAGGAAACGCTCATTGCCCATTTGGAAGGTGCAAAAGCAGAAGCAAGAATGAAAGTGCCCCGTAATGGTTCCTCGCTTCCCGAACAAGATCGGTACTTGCCACATAGCGGATAGACAGTGTCGTGATCGTGGTCGTCGTCGTAGTGGCAGCCGCAGCATCAGCAGGAAAAACTAGCACAGCAAGAGCGGAGTGGACCTCGCACCTTCTAATATTCGTCATCATGATCGTTCTGAACATCGACAAGGACGGCTGTACCGAACGATTGCATTGAAAGCTGAGCGAGCGGAGGCAACTTCTGGTGTGCAACTCAACTGTCTTGATTGAGTCTGCGCTTCAAGCTGGCCAATTTCAATCCTCTTGGAGAATGGAAGCAGCACCTTGAGGAACAACGGCAAAAAAAGGAACTTGGACGAGACTCGAACAGACTGAATGGTAGGTCATTCAGCTCGGCTGCAGGTGTGCAGAGTTGCGATTCACGAGTTGAGAAAGGAATGGAAAAGACTTCGGTTTCTGCTTGAGGATAGCAGTAGCTGCAGCAGTAGCTGCAGCAGTAGCGCAGTAGTCGTCGGTGGTGGCGGGCGCCGGTGGCGTCGCTGTCGTGGCAGCAGTAGCAGTGTTTGTCACCGTTGCCGCAGCAGGAGGAGAATGGGTCCACAGGTTGATACCCTGTGCAGGCATACTGGTGGGGCAGGGACCATCCACTGCACGGCATCCTGACAGACTCAAGTGCTATGCTGGCTGGCTAGCCACCAATGCCGGAGTCGCCGATTTCCTCGACCTTCAGCCCCCCGACATTTGGCCTTCGGGAGATATTGCTTCTCTTGGCCTTGTTGAGCTCTGTCGTCTGGAACTTTGTCGGGTGTTGCCGGCACTGATCCTGTTCAGTGTCCCTGGCCACATCTCAGACGATGTTCACGGTGTCATTGCACGCTGCCGGTGATGCATTTTGCTGATCTAAGATCAGAGCTGCCCCCTCTTTTAAGGCTTGTGCGAATCGACAGCAGCTGGTCTTGAGACCGCAGGCTAAAAGCATCAACCATCACAACCAACAGCAGCAGGAACAGCAGAAGCAAGCACCCAGGGCACCTTCAGCCTGCCTGGCATCGACAGCTGTCTAGCTTTAATGCCACCTAGCCACATCCTCCGCGACGGCTGCACGTAACAGCGCGCCGCGGGCCTTTGGCAGCTCCGGCACTTCCGGCACCTCCTGCTTCGGTTCCACTTTCGCCTGGCACTCGCCCTCCTCTTCATCAAGCAAGGGCTCGCCCAGTGGCCCAGCCGATGGCCACAGCCTCCCACCGCAGAGCTTGCTGAGCATGAGTCAAAGCACACAGGATGCGAGCTGCGCTGTGAATCGCCTGACGAGACCCCGGCAGGTTGCAGCCAGTGCGGACAGCAGGCTTCCAATGGCACTTGCTGAGGCCCAGATCACCAGGGCCACAGCCTGGTCACAAAGCAAGGGGTGAGGCCCGTTCATTGCCTCATACATCCTCTTACTGACTCATACTGTTTATCCCCACGCTCTTGAACCCCGCTTGGGCCTGCCACGGAGGCAGCCCGCCTTTCTGGATGAAGCAATCCGTGAGCCAGAACTGCAGGGCCAACGCGACACATGGCACGAGCCTGCGCGGTCGCAAGCTTGTCTGTTTGGGGCGACAGAATTGCAAGTGAACTTTGAAGCGAGGGGCAGCTCTGTCAAGTCTGCAAGGCTCGAACTCCAAGATGTAAGATCCAACCTTCCACACAAAGAAAGAAGCCATTCTGGAGTCATGCAGACGCCCTCGGAATCTCGCTCTTCCGGCAGTCGAGCAGCAGTAGGACTACAGGGCCTCGAAAAAGGCCGGGGAGGGAAAGCGTCTGGAGCGCCCATTCGGAGGCGCAGACGCAGGCCAGCCAAACCAGAAGCTGGCATATGTATCTGCCTGCAGGCCCCCCACAGACTCGGCCACATCAGGCACCGTACCCAGTTAGAATTGCACGCAGACATGATCAAGGCGTGCCTGGCACCATGAGATCCGCATCATCACGGTATTCCCCAGTTCGGAAATCCTCTTGCTCGGGCAGGCAGGCTGACAACAACATCATACGGCCGGTCAAGGGCAAGAGCCTTGAGCAGGAGCCTTGTGGACTGTGCAGCCGGTCGAGAATATAGAACTAGTGCGCTGAACAGTGCTGGAAAGGCTGCAAAAGTTGTGTCGAGCTGACACTCACTTCAAGTCCTCTCCGAACACCGACACCGAATGAGTCAAATCCAAGGTTCGGTACGGCCGGTAGATATCTCCAGGACTCGGCTGAGGCTCTGAAGCAACCTGCACAGCAGGACTTGGCTTTGGCATCTAGGCGCAAGAACCTCTCAGGTGGCTCGAAGAAACTCCTGGCTGTGTCCACAGCTTTTGAATGCAAGCGAGGCACAAGTACTGGAACACGACGCCGCACGTGGCCTCGGCAAATGTGACCTAGCTGACCCAGCTTTACATAACCCAAGCAGGACTGCAATGCCTCTCCTGACAAATTTCGCAAACGTCAAGAACTTGACAAAGCACACCTTTGCAGGAGCTGGGACTTCCTTTACCATCACTGTGTCGTCTGCACAGAAACAAGCCCAGAAGCTTCTGCAGCGGGCTCGGACAGCCGCAAGACCTCGTCGCTGGGCCTCCACAGATAAATCGCAACTCTGACGAAGCGGGGACAGAAAGCTGAAGGGAAAATTACTTTGGTTCTTTACCCTGAAACACAACAAGCCTACGCTGCAACAATGGGAAGCCTACATCGATGGAACTCGTGGTGCGGCACCTCCATAAGCAGTGGATGCCCCACAGCAGCAAGCAGCCAAACCTTTCATGCGGCAATACGGTGCACCTCTGGGGCCTTGCCCTTCAAGCTCACTTTGGGGATCGGCTGATCATTCAAACGTCCGCATTTTCCGCACGCTTGGAAAGAAGACATCGTCTCGACAAGCCAACTTCTCGAGGCCACCAAGAGAGACCAAGGAGCAGCTGCTTGGAAGCATCGAGCAGAAAGTCAAGCCAAGTCCGTGTCTCGGATTTGACCTTCAGAGTCTACTTCAGAGACTCCAAGTTCAACAAGACAAGAGCACTGGGCCCACAGGAACCCCCGCAAGAGAAGGTCCGTACAGGGTTTATGAGGGCGAGTACAAGGTTTGTTTGGCTTTTCATAGGGTCTACAAGGTTTTAGAGAGTTAATATAGGGTTCTATGAGGGCTTCAATAGGGCTTATGTGGGCTTTCCAGGATCGACGACGGCTTTGTTCTAGTGTGCGCTCGAAGGCCTGGGACGGCACGGTTCAACTCAAGGCTTTTTCTGACTTGCTTATTCGGGTTCGGAAGGGTTCAATTCAAGGTTACGTATGATTGGTACTACCCTCAGAATCCTTAAAAGGGTTATAGGCAATATCTACAACGATTCTGTTGCTTCGTAATATGATTAGTAGTAGTGGAAGAGGGTTAGAGGCAATACTTAGTATGATTATTCGTGCTCAGAGGGGTTCTAAGCAATATCTCTAATGATTAGTACTACCTTAAGACGGTCATGGGCAATACTTAGCATGATTACTTGTACTGAGAGGGGTTCTAAACAAAAATTCGTATGGCTAGTTGTACACCAGAAGAAAGGGAAACCCGGTCGTGTNNGGGGGGGGGGGGGGGGGCGGCGGTTCTCCTCCCTCATCTAGACCACCCACACACACACACACACACACCCCGGATGGTGAATCACAAATTGCTCCACGAAGGGGCAGAGGCGGGGGGCGGAATACATCATGATCAATGTATACTTGTAGATGACATGGATCCTGCGGCGGGGGAGGGGGGGGGACCATGGGGCCTGGCCTGGCGGAGCAGGAGGGCCCCGACACCAAAGGACGGCGCCAGGAAGACCATTTGAGGTGTTCAGGGGGCACGGGTGCCCCTGTTCAGTGGTCTCTTACAGATTCAGGGCTGGTCTGGAGCAGTGAAGAGGGCGAGCGAGGGCTCATGCTTGTAAACGTTCGAGGGGGCTCGAGCCCTTCGCCTCCTCAACGCTTGCTGTTGGAGGCGGCTGTGCCGGGGACGCTACGGGAGGTGAATGTCAATGATTCATGGCGTGGTCGAGTTGCCTGCATCATGCACATGTTTTGCTACCTTGGACCAGCGGAGACGGTGTGGCGGAGCTTGAGCTTGAGCTGCCCAGTATGACCGACTGAAATCGAAGACACTTCCAGTTCTCTGCAGTTCGGTGTTGAGGCTCGCACATCCTCCAGCCTGCAAGGCTTTCCAGAGCATCAATACCGCGCTTTCATCTTGCAGACTAAATGCCTTTCACAAGCCACGAACTAAGCCTTAATGGCCCTTAAAGAAGTCTACAGACACAGGCCTTCGAGGGGCTCTCCACCGACACTCCCTGCAGGGCAAACTCGGGAGTGGAGCTCAGGACACGAGGCAGACGAGTCGACGATCAAGAAGAAGCCAATGGGTGCCACTGTCAAGCGGCTCAGAAAATCGTGCCCGACTAAGCCTGTCGGCTTCCACTCGACAGCAAGCCCTTCCACTCGCTTCCGAGTTCCGAAATCAATTTCGTCCCCTCGAAGAGAAAGCGATGCACAGGATGCCGCAGACCCCACCTCTTTCCACTCACCTTCCTTCTCCACGGTTTCCTGCGCAGCTGCAGCAACTACACGGGATCTTCTTGCACACATAGCCTACACCCATGAAACGTGTTGAAGTATCCCGTGGGTGCCAGTTCAAGCGCAGGGAGATGACAGAAGTACGGAGGAGTTCAGGCTCCACTTCAAGGCTCCTTGCCTCGATCTCGTCAAAGTCAAACATCTTCGCTGCGATCCGCACCCGTTTTAGGCATGTCTTCTTCCGTGGGGTCTGCTGAAGTGGCTGCTGGATGCGCAATGTGTACTGCCGGGGACGCCTACTGCTCTGGCAATGGCTCAAGACATGGCTGCGAGGGCAAAGGACATGAGGGCAGCCGACAGTGTGTGTGTGTGTGCTTTCACTGCACGCCTGTGGTGGACCACATCTTAAGCAAGAGTCCACCTTCAGATTGCAGAAACCATCCTTGTGCTTTTCTCGCTCATCTCTTGCCAGTCGTCTCACCTTCCTGCCAGGCAGGACCGATGCAAGTATGCAGTTTTCCAAACCTGCTTCCCAACCGTGACACGCTTGATTCAGCTCTAAAACCTCAGTGGGCCGCTATAACTGGCGCCACGAACCGCAACTCAGCAGCCCCGCCTTTGCCAAATCCAGAGGGTGCCACCACCTGGGCAATGGAAAGGCTGACCCTCGAAGCGTGACACAGTCAATGCGATCCGTAGACTGGGCACCCGACACATCCACGTCGAACAGCTGGAAAGCAACGCGAGTGTAGGACAAAGCATTGGTTGGCTTGGCTAGACATGGTAGCAAAGCTTGCTCCTATCATGGCGAACAAAAAAAGCATGGATATCATCAGGCCCGCTAACCAGCCAACATACTTCTCTGGACCAGTAATGTCTCGTCGCACAAGCAAGCAGTTGGCTTGCGCGGGTTTAGTGCAAACTATCAACAGAGCGACCACCGATTTGTCCCGGCATCTGCAGAGCTGTGGTAAGATCTTGTAGCTGCTAAGTCTCCTATATCTCTTTCTTTTGCCTGCAGACCCGGTTGATCAGCAACCTGCATGCACGTTACAAGTTGAATTCAAGAAGCGGCAATTGCACGCGAAAGGAGAGAGAGAGAGAGAGAAGCTCATATTGATCTGCTAGCAACGCTCCATGGGCTTCGGTCAAGGGGCCCCCGAATTTCCAGCACAAAACCCTCCTCTGTTCTTCCAGAAGTCCGACGCAATGCTTCCTTCCACAGAAAAGAAGCTGCCAAAGCACCTATGGAGCGGGCCAGTAACGACCAGGAAACCCTCGCAAGTCTGGACGGTATTTCGTGGGCAAGGTTTTGCCCCCGTCTCTCCCAAGTGCCCCGCTTGTCAGCCCAGGCTGTTTGCCATTCACTGGGCTCTCTCGGCCCTGCCACAAACCGGCCAAGGGTCTGCACCGACCTGGCTCGGGCATGAATTGCTTCGCGGCTATGTCGTCAGGAGGTGGCAGAGGAGACACTTCTCAAAACCCACGATCCATCTCTGGGAGGCCTCCCCTCCGCCAACGGAATTGGTCTGCAGCAGCTTTGCTCCAGAAACGGCCTTAGCGGAAGCCCAAGAAACGTAAGAGTGTAAGCAGTCCCGAAGCCGGTTTAGCATTCGCAAGACTGAACAAAAATTGAACAAACGCCACACGTTGGTTGGATCTCTGGGTCAAATGCCTCCTGTTCCGGCCTCGGCCTCACTTTGAACCTTCTGCTGAAGACTTCAAGACGCTCTTGGCATGGCTCGATTCGGCATTCTTGCTTTATTTGCATAATATTGCATAGTGGCATGGTGCTGCGCTCTGCTGAGGCCGCGACCAGGAGACTCCGCAAAGAGCGATCGTATAACTGAAACCTATCTAACCTTGCTTACGTAGGCAGCACGCCTGGCAAGCCGAAACTTAGTTTACGAGAGTTGGGCCTTCAGGCGTCCGCCACTGCGTCGGCTGGCATGTTTCCACCATCTTCAAAATCTTTCTGCCCTTGCTGTTAGACTTGAACATAGGAAGCCTCAATCCAGCACGCGCAGGGCAGATCTGTCCTCCCAAAGTGCCCCACTTAAATGCTAGCTCGCTGGTCGAACGGCCATTCGAGCCCCTGGAACGAACGAAAGTCGCACACAGGCAAACTCAAGGAGACACTGAGCCTGCATCCAAAGCAGAAAACTCACTGCTAAAGGGAAGCCGATAACCGAAGCTGATGCTTGGATGCGGCTCGCGGCTCCTTAGAACGAGCACATGTCACCTCAACCTCACTCCCTGTACTCTGACAAGGGTGGGGCCCCAGGGCTCTTTCAGCACTACCCTTGCAAAACATTCGCAGCATTTGCAAATCACCTCTAGATCCCATACCACATGCCACAGACTCTTCCCGGAAGGTCTGTGAGCCCTGGCCTCCACCCTAGCAGTTGCTGGTCTTAGCGGGGACCTCGAAGGTCCAGCATTCGGCGAGGCAACTGCCGGTTTGACCAGAACTGTCTCTGGACAGATTGAAACTATTGTGGCCCTGTTGAGATCTCCAGTCGCAGCATGTTTGGCTGCCACTGGGCATGCAGCAGGCTGCTCCAGCAGCGACGACCCACAGACCCAAGCGCTTTTCCAAATTGCGGTGCACCTGAACCTATTCGATGGCTGTGCCTGTTGGCCCTTTAACTGCTCCAAACGGTCGCTGGAGACAGACCCCAATACAGAGGCCGGGCCTTGCAGGAAGTAGGGTCCCAATCGATGCATAGTCTTCTGTTGGTCTGGGATCGCCTCAAGGGCTGCATCGGCTCTCGGCCATCGTAACGTCAAACGTCACAGCATCTCGGAACCGTGCTGACCTTCTCCAGTTTCTGAAAGATCTTGTTTCCAAACCTTCTAAACGGAAGAGCCGGAAAGATGTTTTATGAGAAGGACAACGCCGAAGCTCCGAGTTCTGCTGGTGGAAACATTACCGATTACGACTCGGCTCTTTTCGTCCAAACCCTCGTCAGCCGCTTCCACTGTGCCGAGATAGCAGAAGTTGTCTGCAACCGCAGCATTCAGGAGCAGCAGTTCGTCATCAGTGAGCATTGGCGGCCGTCGAGGGTCGGGCTGAGCGTTCTGTGCAGCACACACCAGCTCTGCATTCTGGAAGACGAGACAACCCCAAAGGAAACTGGAATATCGGGAATGGGTCTATCCGACTCTATTCTTCTGCTCCGAATCTACGTCTCCAAGTTGCTTTTGGCTCTCAGAGCTTTTGACAACGCCAGAGCGCCTAAGGGAGAGGATGCGAATCTAAACAGACAGTCAGGGTTTTGCACAAAAGAGATGCGCTGCAATGCATGACTCGCCTACGATCTGATCTGCGGCTATGAGACCTTCGAAACGCTGCAACAAGCCTCCCTCAAATGAAACAATCTGCGGCCTGGAGTTCCCTGAAAGAGCAAAGCCTCCAACAGGTCCTCAATTGGACATCCCTCGATCCACTCGCGGGTTGGGTACATGCTGAGTGTCACCCCGTGCTATCCCACCCGTGCAGCTCTCTTTATCCATGCATCTACCTATCAATCGATCTACCCGCCTATCTGTCTAGCTGTCCATCTGCCCGTCTGTCTATCTATCTATCTCTTCTTGCACACAGCCAGAGGATGCGGGAATCCCCTCCCCCCTGCGCGCAGGTGCCTTGGGCGTGTGGTCAGTCTATCTTTCTTTCGTTATCTTTCCAGGGCAAGGGGAACGTTCGAGGTTCCGCGGGCCGAGAGGCCCACACGCGCCGCATGGGCCTGTTTAAGAGAAACGTGAAACAACATCTCAAGTTCATCGGGAAAAGGACATCTCTTTGTTCTTTCCTTCCTTCCGCTGGGCTCAGGTCAGCAGTTCGAGACAAACAGTGTCAAGGACCAACCAGGTACAGACTAAAGAACCATTTCCCGCGCTAGTTCGCCCGCCACACACCAAACACCACATATACGTTCTAGAACATATGCACAGAAAAGGCTCTCTCACTGGCGTCCCCCGTCCTTTCGCGCATCCATGCTGCGAGCAATCACCTGTTCCTCAGGATTATACCAAAACGGGGCCTTAGACACACCGCGGCGAAAATCACCAGTCGCCATTCTTGCCACAGTCACGGTCTGCTACACGATGGACTCCCCCGAGAAGGGCCGGATGCCCCCCGCCGGCCAAGATGTGCCCGGAGTTCAGGTGGAACGGGCACAGGTAGTTCACGGTAACTGTCGGCCAGGAGGATGCCCTCCTCTCCCACGAACAGGAAGCAACTCGAACTCTGAGGACTCAAACTTCACGGATCAGCTGTATGGCCCAAGGCTCCCTTTTTGTCTAGGGTTGCCAGGTTACAGTGTCGAAGTGCTGGGGGCGTTGGGTGCCAGGGCACAGTTGGCACCCTCCCCCCCTCAGAAACCCCCTCGAGTCTGCGAGGTTGCGCCTCAAGACGTTCGCGATGAAGGCACCTTGAGCCAAAATGGCTTGAACCTAAATGGCTACGGCATCTCTTTGTCTCTCTCTGTCTCTCTCGGTCACACGGTCGTCCCACGCTGGTAAGCTGCCCCGTGGCAACCTTGCGTTTGTAGCACTTATCCCCCATGTCGTGGGGCTTGTGGTAGAAGGGCCCATCATGGCAGGCTTTGCAGGACACCCCGAGCCACGAAGTCTCTCTGCAAGCTTGCATTGTTCCGCCCACGTAATGTTGACCTTCGGCGGCCTAGCCGTGGGGTCGCGTTGCGGTTTGGAGCCGCCTCTCTGTTTCTCCCCCCCTTGATTGGGTTTGCCGAAGAGTTTGCCATCGGAAGTCAAGGTACAGGTAGTGCAGGACGGTCCCCCAGGGGTTCGACAGTGAAGTAGCAGGCCTCTCCCTCCTACTGGCGGGACACCTTGCTGAAGGAGGGGCCGCGCTCAGGCTCCGAGGAAAGCTGGGGCGCGAAAGGGCCTCTTGAGCAAAACGGCGTCAACGAAGGACTCAAGCCTCCCTCCACTCAGAGGGACGTCCACCCAACAGCAGGCCCGGAGGGCCGCCCCCGAGTGCCCCCCGAAGCAAGCGGCAAGTCGACTTCTCTCTCTCTCTGTCTATCTGTTTTGCTTTCTTTCGATCGAGCTACAATCTATCTGTAGCACCAGCTTCAACTGCCGATCTACCTGTGTATCTATCTATCTGGCCATCTGACTATCTGTCTATCTGTCAACCTGCCAAACTGTCTGTCTACGGGTCCATGTATTTATCTGTTTGTCTGTCGGTCTACCTATCTATCTATCGACCTTTCTATCTGTCGATCTGTCTATCTAGCTATCCATCTATCTAACTGTCTATCAGTCTATCTACCCGCTGTCTAGCTGTTTATCTACATATCTATCCAACAATCTATCTTTAACCCTATTATCCACCTCTCTCTCTCTCTCTCCCCGGGGAAAGAGGAGCGGGGCGTTCAGCCTCGACGCCCCGCCCGCGGACGCGCACCCGCGTGTCACGGGTGTCTTTAGCTTCCCCGCAGTTTGCCGCAGGGAGGCTTGGCTATACGAGGAGCGTTTCCCCTGTACATACTAAGAGTTGCCCGTTTCTATCCACCTCTCTATCTCAGTCTGTCTTACTACCTATCTATCCATCTGTCTACCTCCGCATCCCTGAATCCATCTATCTATCAAGTGCCGAATACCGATCTACCTATCGGTCGATTTATCTGCGTACTACCTTCCGCCTGTCGACCTACCGACCGACCGACCGACCGACCGACCGACCGACCGACCTACCTACCTACCTACCTACCTACCTACCGACCTACGTACCCACCTACCTACCTACCTACCTACCTACCTACCTACCTACCTACCTGGACCTACCACCTACCTACCTAGTTGGCTACCTACCTGTGCGCCTCTCTGCCTGCCTATCGGATATCTACCTACATACACGGTGCATACATGCAAGTATGCTTGCATGCTCACATGCATACATTAATACCTGTTGACTCTCTATTAACTTCTTTTTTGTCAAGGCGCACATGCCAATACTCTGTCTCTCTGTCTTTAGGTCCATCTGTCACGCTGGCTACACTCAGCAAGAGTGGGTCTCTCGTCTTCCAGAGCGTGTTATCTCAGGTTGGAAGCTCAGGATACAGGAATCCGATCAGGAATCCCCTGCGCGCTTCCTGAGCAGGTAGCGGTCTGCAGACTCGTCCGCAGACTTCCATCCATGCTGGGTCTGTTCCAGCAAGCCATACGTGAAAGTCTCAGGGCAGTCTCAAGTAACATGATCGGATGATCCCTGCACATGGCACAAGTCCACTATAAGCCCACATGCAACCTGTCCTTGCGCTCGAGGGTGGGCACTCACGCCCCCTGCCCTCCACCCAGGAGGAAGGCAATGCCTTGGATGTCAGGGTGTCATGACTTCGTCCACAGCTGCAGCTATTGACAAACCCTGTACAATCTGCGGCACAAGCACTCTTGCCCCAAACAGGCCACCTCAACCAGTGCCGCTTGTACAAGCTGTGCTTTTCTCGTTTTGCAACCCTGGAGTGGGGAGGCGGACGATCAGTTTCGCATTTCTTCCAAGAATATTGTGGTACAAAACTCTCAAAGCTAAGCAAATGGGAGCATCCAGGAGCGATGCCAGTCTTACTACTTTGTCTCCGTTCATACGAGGCAATTGTGAAGTTGCTTCCATTGTGGGGAGGCACCCTTCGTGTCTTGCTTTGGCGGGGTCCATCAGCACGGGATTCAAAAGAGCGAGATGTAATCAAGGTAATCTCCGGTTTACATCCGTTACTTGAACCCATTTGGGCTCATTCTTGGGAGGTATGTTTTTTGGGGGGCCTTCTACAATGATCACCAACAAGTATAATGCAAAAAGAACTCTCAACAGCAACAAGTTTCTGGTAAGAAGATGGTTGCCATATGTTCCACATACAGTAGGTCTGATCGCAACATCGAAGCAGTTGCACTTTGGTGCTTTGGATTGACAGCACAGCTGCCCATACAGGTGCATGCAGGCACGAACGCTTACACAGGTACCCGCTGGAGCCTGACTATGTTTTCTATTTCACCAAAGAACCTGTGAATGAAGCATATGGGCCGCTAGCAGCCACAGACACATCCACACCCTCGCATGGCACCAGTAAGACAGGCAGCAGCAACTGCCGTCATGCGTTAATAGCAACGTGGGACATTCGGGTATCGTAAAAGGCCTTCAATATCAGATGCAGTTGCACCCCTGTCCGGCCGTGCAACATAGAAAACCTGCTGAAAAGGGTCTGCAGTTTGCTCTTCTGAGAGATCGGACCTGTAGCACGACGTTGGAAGCTCTAACCCCGACAGCCATCGGATGCAGAAAGCAAAGAGCGAGGATCAAGGCCATGTCGCAAGGTGACAAATAAGGGCATCTTTCACCTCTCATCTTTCACCTTTCCTGTTGCTGGAACTCGTATTCGCAGGGGGTGCGGGCCCACTGTAAGGAACCATGCACGAGATTCAAACTGCTGCCACCTGCACGACCTGCACGAGCACAGAGCCCACCCTCCCCCACATTCCCCTGGACCCTGGCCCTCAGTCTGCTAGCGCATCCAGCTGGCAATGGAATGGACATTGAGGTAATACTTTGAAGGATTGGAAGCAACGTCTTTCAGCCGGGAGTCCCAACGTGAAAAAACATTCCTGCGTCTGGATATCCTTCTGGGTCGGCCACTCTCTGGGTTACCGAGGAGATCGAATCCAAGGAGGTCCTCCGTAGAGGCATGCTAAGCAAGCTAAGGTACTGGATGAGAACATATGAACCTCAGCTTTCCGTTGCAAAGCCCTTCGTCATGTGGCTGACCTTATCTGTAGGAGGCTTGTCAATCCAGATTTGCTTCAGTGAATGGCATGCAACTTGCCTGTGAATGACCCTGAGACTCTGTCAAAGCTGTGCTGAAGCTTACAGGCAAGGAATTCACAGAACCAACTCGCGGCATTGCCAACCCGTCCTTCTCCGAGAAGTGCGTGTCCTGGATGCAGCCGGCATGCTGATGACAGGGGATCGTCCGTGACAGACATCGCAGGCAAAGGCAGCTACAGAGCTCACTGCGCAATGCCCGCCTGGACTCCGCTGGTGGACACGTAGCAAGGCCTCTTTAGGGCTCGTGTTTTAGCACCGCAATCAAGGACTCGCAAGGACGTCAACTTCGGACGCCTCTTGTCTGCCCCACCAAACCGGCACCCGACCCGTGGAAAGGCCCGCGCTGACCGTCGGCGAGGTTGAATTGGCCGGACTCTGCCTCAAAGCGACGGCCGAAACACGTAATGTGATGGAAGGACTAGGTGGTTAGGTCACAAGGTTAAAGGTAACTTATGAAAAGGTCTCTGCACCTCGGGATTGTCGGGTGAATGACAAGAGGCAACCGGTGTCAAAATGTGTGCAATGTGGCCGCCCTGGCATCGCCCAACAGAACTTGGAGACGGTCTTGCAGCTCATGTGGCAATGCCTCTCCATTTGCCTCTCGCGGTGCACATTCACGAGTCGGTCACACAAGACCGACTATGACTGCTATGACTGAACACCAAGCTTCCAAAAAAGTGTTACAGGCCAACTGGTCATGATGAAGACAACTTCTGCTGGGAAGTAACTAGACATCGGACGGCAGCGGTGACAGCCGCAGCTGCTTGACAACAACCAGAACCACTGCAACTGCAACCATGCAACTGACTGACTATGCAAACACCACTACCATGACCAAGCCCGCCATCAACCAGGACTGCTAGTGCTGCCAGAATGTGCAACCACCATCCGTACCACCATCATCACCACGCAACAACAGCTGCAGCTGCGGCAGCACCAGCAGCACCAGTACCGCCAGCGCCGGCACAATCCATGAGTAGCACTCCAACGCTCTAGACTCTAAACCCTCACCACCAGCGCCAACACCACAACAACGATAACCATCACCACCAACAACAACCACCAACAACCACCATCACCACAACCACAACAAGAACGACGTGCGCCGACACCGGTACAATCAGGTACATGCGAAGCACTTCAACATTGAAATTCCAAACTGGATCATGTATGCACGAATGATTGTGTATGAATGGAAGGATGGTGCTTCACAAAGAGCCATTACTGTCAGATGCTCCCCACGCCTCCTCGGAATGGGACACGTTGTTCTTTTGGCAGAATACTGGACGCTTGCGTGCCTTTTGTGCATGACAAAGGTGGCACGGGTCTCCACGGGAGGGAAGTTTCTCTCGCAAAGGAAGGGCAATAAACACTGCAACTAGTTCCTCTCCACGAATGCCGACAGTGGATCTCGTGCAAGGCTGCAGGAGTGTTGTCACCATCAGGAAGCTCAAGTCTCCCATCTGACCCTCCGCATCAGCACATCAACCGAGGATTGGACGTCGCTGTCGCGCATCACGGCCGACAGACTGAAGTGCTTCGTGAGCTGCTCCTGCTGCAGGTGCGCAAACTTGGGCCAACCTCCCTGCAGCCCGGAGGCCTTCCCCTAGTTTGATCTGCAAGGAAGAGGTCGAAACCCGGCTTGAGCATTGTAACATAGTCGAGCGTTCCGTGGCATCCGGCAACGGGATAGGCCTGGCCCTGCAAACGAGCATAGCTCACCGCCGGTAGTGTCGATGCCTCGGCTCTGGATCGAAGTGAAGTACTCCGTTACTCCGTTTACGTTGACTTCGTACGCGCCTTGCTTCTGTGCAAACGCCAGAGCTGAGCCCAAAACAGATACATGGCCCCTCTTCAGGTAGGCTCGCCAGAAGGACGGCCTCCAGACCGAGCGTACTGCATGGAGGTGTCCGAGGTCCACAAGATCCCAAGCACCGCGCGTCATACGCTGCCAGAGCACCAGCACATCGCTGGGAGTCCTTGCAAGGGCTCGTTTATCCGCCATCATTGCAAATGAAACGCTGCACAGACTCCAAGCTGGTCAGTATGGTCAGCCTGGTTTTGCCGGGCTCCCGGACCGGAAGTTGATGAAGGCGAAGCCACAGTGCACGTTACGGCGCTTATCAAAGGGCATGTAGAAGAAGGTGTACCTCGGATCTGCATCTCTTGGGTCTGCTCTAACCATTCATGGTTACTTTGCGCGCCTGTCCGACAAACCGCAAGGGTGTAGCAGCTCCACGAACGCCTCTCGGGTGCAGGCCTGTCAATAACTGCCGCAAACTCATATCCACGACGGTAGCACAGAGTGCATCAGCCGGGTCAGAGACGGAAATATTCACCACACAGACATTCGACAAAGTCATGTAGGCCTTGGGAATGTTCCTCACCATCACCTAGGCGGGCAAGACGGCGAAGCATCCCAAATTGGACAGAGACAGTACAGAGTACAGACACCGAAGCCGGCATTTGGACAGTTTTGCGATGCACAGGGGGCACGAGGCCATGGCAGTGGTTCTCGTGTCCTCGCCGGACTGGATCTTCTCGGGCACGATGTCGAACTTTAGCAAGTCCTGGAGAGTAAGAGAGTCCGATGTCTGCCACGCTGCCTGTTCCAGTTCTTCTTTAAGTTGTTGGAAGTGGATACGAAGCCAGACGCAAAGACTTGATGGCCAATGCTCCTCCACTCTCGCCTTCTCGCGCACAGGTTTGCCATGTCCTGCTGAAACGCTCAAGCGTACGCATGTTCCAACAGTGTGCATGAAACGACATGAATGATGCACTTTGCCAGCTTCAGGAAGTTGCGGGGGCAGAGCTTGCAACCCCGAACCCAGTACTGCCATCGCACGAGCGTCCTTGCCATTTCGGTCCACTTTTTGATGGTGGGGTCGTGGGAGGCTCACCTGTTGCAGAAAGCGATCAGCAATCTATGCACCCGCCCACCCAACCCATTTTGAGCAAAGAGTTCCACACTCTAGTCCAATGCCACCCGGAACTCTTGGACCTATTGAACCCAGTGTGCACTGCACTCGAGACAGCACTGGCTTGGCCCCATCCACGAAACTCCGCTCTGAGACTGCGACTTCCCTTGCCGGTCAGCGGAGGTGACCCGGGGACGGCCTTCGGTCAATCGCCGGATTCTATCAGAAGGAAACGAGCATTTTTTAAGAGGAAGGAGCGAGGCGTGCGAGAATGCGACAAGGGCTGGTTCGGAAAAGGTGCATCAGTACAGTTGAAACGAAAGACGTGCACAAACTTCCGGAGTGATGCTATCGAAGCGAAGTGTATAGCTATGTCGGGCGCAGCGATGCCAAGCTGCGGACCCCCTGCAAGGAAAAGAGCTTCGAGGCACTCAAGGTCTCCTTCAGCAGTGCACCAGAATCCCACAAGTTGCGCATCATGGCTACCTTGGATCGAAAGACGCAACACAGTCCAGTGCCTGCACCCAGTCAGTGGCCAACGGACTGCGGGGCACCTCCGGACAACTGCGGACAAGAAGACAAGAAGCAAGCATTAATCCGCCTCCAGCGTGACATGAACATGACACCATGGTGTTCAAACGCCTGGTACGCTCCCACATCAGGCTTGCATCTGGTTTTCTATTGTTGTCCTGGGTTCACGGCCAACACCCACATCCCTTTACCCACCACAAACCAATTCCATGCCAATCGACAGGGTAGCAAGGGCTTACTGGCTTCCCTAATTTCACCCGGATCAAGACGCTCACTCTCCAGACATCTGATTGAATGCTTGCCTTTCCTGTGTGAAGGGATTTCCTTCATCTGGACGCTTGTCTGGCTCGGTTGTTGTACCGGGGGCCCAGGTGCTAGCCGGGAAGAAGTTCAAGCGGCTCTGTCCATCGCCTCAAGACACCTTCACGTCACCTAACCTAAGTTCAAAACATATCATTGAAAATGCCTGATCATGCAATCCAGATCAACACCACCGGAGAATGGAGAAAAATGCTGGGCAAACAGGCTGTGCAGCTCGGGCGCAGGAACCTGGCCGTTCTGCACTTGTGCTTGTCCTTGCCCCTGTCCGGCAGTCCTGGACGCTTCACACATCGGAGCGGTCGCTGTCCAGTTTGCAAGTGCGAGACACTTGGTCCGAGCATAACGTCTGCGATTCCACATCAATCGGATAGGAACTGGCTCGAGATGCTGATCACTTGATTCACGGCTCTCGACACTGGTATGCTGACACGACACGGCATACACTCTGAGTGCTCTGCTGGCTTACCTGCCGCCTTGGCCGGCTGGCCGGAACAAAGAACGTGACCTGCCATCGTCGCGAACTGCATCCCAGCGACTTCGAGCTCACCCTTTGCATTTCCGGACACTGTTGCCACGGAGGTCGGGAGTCAGCCAAGCACTCCCAGCGACACTGGCCTGTTGAGCTGCACGCATGTCGTAGAACTCGACAATGATCTCCTTCGAAAGAAGCGAGCACGTGGCACGCCTGCAATGAAATTCATTCCAATCACCCTGGTCCTCTCCGCAAAGCGATACCCCAGCAATCTCTCCGAAGCTGTGAAGCTGACCAAACTGGTCCTGAAAGCTTGCTGCTGGTTGGAGATTGAAGTTTAAGGCGCTCGGGCTATCAGCTTGGTGCAGGATCTTAGCCCCTGCACGTTGCGACATCTTGCCGAGTAACTTACCCTGACTTTCATGAACTACAACAGGATGCTCACGAAGACTTGGCCATGGAACAATAACACTGCGACACAATCCGAAGTGTCGTGCCAACAACCGCCCAGTTCACTGGTCAAACGCTCTGACTTCCTGGGCGGTTCAAAGCCACACTGCTGAGCGAGGCACGGGGAGATCAGCAATGACGTGAGGAGCGATGCTCACGGCCTGCAAAAAAAAAGCCGCTTCTCGCTCCCATGCCAGATGTGTTCTGGCTAACACGTGCGAAAGCAAGCTGCGTCCAAGCACAGGGAAAATTCAAAACTGAGAAGGAGACACGAAAGTCGTACGCGGCCGGTTGAAAAGGCTCTGCCAGCGCGCCGAAATGCTGCAGAACCTGCTGGTTCTATGCTGCAGTACTTGTTGCCATTGGAAATACCATGCATTAGACGTGACATCACATTCAGTCAGTTCAACCTAGTTCGGTTTGGACTTGCTGATTGTTGAGAGGGTGAGAGGAGGAGGGCAGATCCCTTCTACGCCACCTGTCGGGAATCTCTGTCCAACTTGGAGTCCGCATCCTCTTTAAGCCGAGCCCTCTCGAACAGGCGTCCCGGCCTTCTGTGCAACTCTCACATCAAAGAAAGTCACGAACACCAATCCGGTGACGGCACCTCATGCCAAGACGACGCTTCGGCTCGGGGAGGCTCGGGGTGGAGGATGAAGGATCTTGTTGTCACATCTACAGAGCCCAACACCTGTCAGCCCCTGTCCAGCATGAAGTCGGGACAACGTGGGCCCCGGCCCAAGGTGGTGTCCAGCCGCGCGATGTCCCCAAACCTGCTTCAGGTTCGGATGAAGCTTTGTCAGTTTTTGATCGGCCCAGGCCGGCTACAGGGATCGAAGGGAGAGCGCAGATGCATCTCAGCCATTCATAACTATCGGTGTATCAGCACACCTAGTTACTGCTCAGGGCAATTGAGACATCGAGCACATTCCTGCATGCCTCGAAAAGAGCGCAGTGGCCTCATCAAGGTTCCTGTGCACCGACGGCTCAGAGACTAAAATCTGGCTTACGTTGCAGTCACTGGCTCGCGGGCGCGCCGGAGATCATGCTGCGGGCATGCGGGTATGCGACAGTTTCAGACAGCAGACCATGCGGTGCAAACCGCATGGCCCATTAGCATTGAAGTAGGCGCAGACTTTACTTGGTCAAAGTTTCGTCACGGAGCACAAACCCATAGTTAAAGACTGTACCTGGTTGGTATTTTAACATAAGAACTTTGCTGGAACTTTGCAACATGGCAGTACCCTGCTGAGTCTGACATCCAAATGAAAGCCTTCACACAGGCACTACTCTGAACCCGATGTCCACGTGCCAAGAATACATGTGCCGCTGTGTGCTCAGCACATCGTCGTGAACAAGTTGCAGAGGCCTTGGACAGTCTGCCTGGAAGTGAACTGCCACCTCAGCCCGCCCAATTAGACGTCCCCAACAGGCCATGAGAAAGGACGTGTTGCTGCAACTCGAAACGTCCATGTCCACCAACGGAAAACAACATGCACAGTAGCGGGAACTTGGGCTGAGGCAGTGTTTGAGGCATCTGACAAAGAAACGGAACGGGCCATGCTGCACCTGCAGCAAAGAACAAAACATCTCGGCTTTGAGGTCGGCTGTGGCAAAACCCAGCGGCTACGCTAGTCTCCGTCAGCAGAGTCCAAAGAGGCGGCGCCTGCTTCCTCCCTCCAAACGATCGGACTGAGTAGCTTGAAGACAGGCCTGCATCAGAGCTGGTTATCGCACACAGAGCTTATCGTCCCATCCTCCAAAAAAATAGGCAATGAGAAGTGGTCCATACATTGTCAATAAAACGACCTACACTACAACCTGAAAGCATCGTGCTCCCAAACCTGAAACGGGAAACGGAAAGCGGTGCGCTTCGGGTCTGTGACAGCTCCACGGTCTTTCGCAGACACAGGCAACTCTGTGAAAGCGCACCTTCGGAACAGAAGGTATGAGTCACAACAACTCAATGACCTGCACTTGTCTCCAATGCACCCACTGCACTTCGAGCCAAATGCAGCACAATGCCCACAAGCTTTGGTGCTTGACTCCATCGTTGTGTTGGTGGCGCTTAAGAGCAATTTCTCTGAAAGCAATTTTCCGGCCATGTGCTGCCAAAGAGCAAGTGGAACTTCCTCGTTGCAGTGTGCCTACACGCGACATTTTTTTACGAGGTTGCGTCACCTTGAAAAGATGAAAAACCAATGCAAACTCTGGGTGCTGACTTCAATTTAAAGAGAGAAGCTGCATGTGGATTTGAAGAATACAAGCAAAAACTTACGCAAGGTTGAAAAACTGACCACAAGTTAAAGCAAGACTACTTGGACCTAACATGGAAACTACTGTTGGATGAAACCAGACCAAGAACTACCGAAAACAACTTAACTTCAAAAATCCTAGAACCTGTAATGCCTAGCCGCCTAGCCAACAGTGTGATTTGTTTTTTTGCGTGGATCGGCCTTGTGGCAGCAGCTCCGAAGCACAAGATGAGAATCAAACAAACCATATTTCAAAAGCTGTACAAAGTGAAACATCAGTTTAAGGCCACGACGACAACCAGCGATCGGTCAGAAAAAAACTAGATGTCTCAGTATAGCCAGAACTCCAAGCATGCCCAGTCTTATCGGCCTATGAAACGCAACTGGCACGATCAATGTTGAGTTGAGACGGGTTGGCGTTCAACATCAAGACTGAGTCTTAGTAAACTCGGTGTTTTTTGTTGGTGTTGTTTGCCTCAGCCTCTAAAGATCCGAGCCATTCAACTTGCACAAAACCGGAAGAGCTTTTTCGCGACCACTTTGTACCTGTTCTTCTTTCATAATTTTGCTCATTCTAGGATCGTAAGCGTGATTCTTGCAATTGCGTTTGGCCGAACGAGTGCAACTTTTGCAAAAAAACCATTGCTATGTGCAAGTTGTCCCTTGCAGCAAGTCTGCAAGACGCTGCTTGCGAACTAACTAACGCAGCACTGTCTTGTTCTTGGCAGGTGGCTGCAGCAAGGAAACGCAAGAAAAACGTTTGCAGCTGCTAGCTTGGACTGGTAGGCGCCGTTGCTAGAAGCTCTTAAGAAGTTTTCTTTTGCACAATAGCGCTAGAGCGGGCCGGAATTGCTTTGTCTTGGTCAAGTTTGGAAGCACAAGCGTGCTTTCTTGTGGCATAGCTCGTGCGGGGGACGAATGAAGGTGTCTTCTCGAAGGGCTTGAGAAGGAGGGTGCCTACATGCTGCATCTACACTTGGGGCTGTCAGACTTGAAGAGGCGGTGAAAACAAATTGCACATAAGTAAAATGCTGGAAACGCACGGAAACGTTTCTCCACAAACAAAATAGAAAAATGCACTTTAGAACGGTGAACATTTCAAGACAATTCCCTTGCTTCTAGAAAAACGTTTCTCCGCACTTCAAAGAACTTGTCAACTTCTCAAACCCTTTAAGATCTTTCTCCATTTTAGATTTGGTTTCTTCGACCACTTATCGCGAAGCTGTCGAAGTGCATTTTTTTTCAAGTTTCTCTTGGCTGCTTGGTGTTTCGAAAGAAGATGTGGTCTTGCATGTTCTCTGTTCGAGTGAACATGAAGAACCAGTGCGCTTCGGTTTGAACAAATTTTTCGCTTGTTTGACATCTTTTTGGAAACATGTCTGTTTTCGTAACCATCCCTGCTCTTCGTCAAAGCAGACTCGATTTGTTCACAACGTGTGCTCGATTGCGTTCTACTTGTTGAAAGTGCAAAGTTGCACCACTCACCCAAAAAAATGATTCTGCAATGGGAAGAAGAAACTTCGTTTGAAGCAACAAAAGAATCTTCGAGTTTTTTTTTTGAAAACTTGAACTTTGACCAAGACTTCTTGGCTTTACAAACGTGTCTAGCCAAACCTTGAGCAAAACCGCAAGAGTGTTGGACTTTTGTGCTTTAGAGACCTTCTAACACTTTGAATCTGGAACAAGAGGCTGGTTCTCTTGGACAGATCCAAAGGAAACTGAACCATTCAAATTTAATTCTCGCTGGGCAAATGGAGTTGCAGCCACAGACCTCGGTTCTAGCTGCGGACACATTATTTTGGTGCTGTGAGTTTCCACAGCACGCAGTGTCTCTTTATTTTCTGCAGACTACCCGGAATTGGAGCAAGAGTTTTGTTCATATTGTCACATAATGTTGTTGCCGTCGTTCTGCGTGTGCAGCATCTTGAAGCTGCCGTGGCTATGTTGATAAGAAAGAAATTGTGGTTTTGGAAGTGTCTATTTTGTTTCGCGAATTAAGAAGCAATAAAAAAAATTCCGAAAGGTAAAAAGTGCCAAAAACGGGACCTTGGAATCCATTTTTGGAGCCTGGTAAGATTCAACTACATTTCCTTTGAGAAAAGCTAAATCTTGGAAAGAATCGTTTGGGCACTATGAAGGGCTCATTTGGGTACTATCTCCTTTTCAGGCACTATTCGGGCGCTAGCCGGGCACTAGCTTGGCGCCAT